TCTATCATTTTGGGACATCTCTTACTGTCCGCCCACTCTACATGGATGTCCTTTTTGCTTCCATCTTTAGAAAAACAAATCTTTACGCTTTGAGGAACCTGGAGTTAAAAAGTGGAAGAACCTGTCAAAAGTAGGACATCTTAGCAGAACAGACTTCCTGGAGTCTGAAATTGTTTATTTGATAGCATCAAGTTGTATATAAAAAGGACCGACTCTCTCAGAGTCAAGAATCGGTGATACCCAGGGAACGCATTCAGGACCTGAAGAAACAGCATTTGTAAGAGTGTAGAGCAGCATTTCTAAGACATGTTCTATGAAACTTTGTTACACATTGATATGTTTTAGTATTGTAGAAGAAAAAAATGTTTAGGGATCAAGTAAGTTTGGGATTTGGGATGTATTGGATTCCTCACTCTTAGAGATTAACAATATATGTAGTTTAAAAGCTTTGAGAATTGCTGTAATTAAACAGTAAGAAGAAAATCTTAAATTTTGTTTAATCTGATATTTCCTAGCCATTAAAAAAATTCAAATGGAAATTCAAAAATGTGGTAAAATATGTATAACATAAAAGTTACTATTTTAGCCATTTTTAATTGTATAGTTCAGTGGCATTAAGTACATTCACATTGTTGTACAACCATCACCACCATCCTCCGGAACTTTTCCATCTTCCCAAAATGGAAGATACCCATTAAACATTTATTCCCCATACCTCTCTCTCTCCAACCCTTGGCAACTGCCACTCTACTTCCTGTCTTTATGAATTTAACTACTCTAGGTACCTCTATCTTCAGTGTTCATCCATGTTATACCATATGTCAGAATTTCTTCCTTTTTTAAGTCTGGGTAGCCTTCCATTGTATATATATATATACCACATTTTGTTTATTGTCTGCCATGTATTTTTTTTATAAGGTATCATTGATACACAGTATTATAAAGGTTTCACATGAGCAACACTGTGGTTACTACATTCTCCCATATTTTCAAGTCCCGCACACACACCCCATAGTAGTCACTGTCCATCAGCATCTACCATGTATTTTTAATGACTGTGTTTTGCTGTTTGTATGTGCCATGGCATATGCACTGTTGATGGATATTGTGTTACTTTCAGTTTTTCAGTATCACAAACAATCCTGAGATAAATATTTTTGCATAGTTACCTCCTACAAGTGGGGTTGTCTTAAGGGTACTCATGTTTTACGTTTTGATAGATATTACCAAATTACTCTGAAGAAAGTCCCAATTTTTATTCCTTTTTATAATGCATGAAGAGTGCCCATTTCTCTGAATCCTGCCAACATTAGACTTTAAAAGTCTTTGATCTTTTGCACAGCTGATCAGAAAAAGTAAACTTGTTTTCATCTGTTTGGAATATCTGTGTCTCAGAAATCAAATCTACTTTCAAATGATAATTTGCTGCTCTTAAAGTGATATAAAACATATACTTTTCATTCTGAAAAGTATTGTTGGAATAAGTTGCTCATACGTCCAGGTGACGGTTTTTGAAGGGCACATTGAAGAGAAGCCCTTGTATCTGCATTAATCGAAAAAAGGCAATCCTTTCTTCATAATCACACTTAACACATGATATTCTTATATATGACTTATCTCTACAAGAAAATTGTGTGGACAGTGCAGTTACTGAATTCCTGCTATATGTAAGGTGCTTTGTTGCCAGAAGGGATGTTATACTGGAAGGGTGTTAATGGCCACTGTCCCTATGGAACTTAAAGTCTGAATGTTCCCCAGGACTGTCCTGTGGGAGCTCCCCGATAGAACTGGTATTGAATAAATATTGTTGAGTGAATCGTGCAGACTACTTATTATATGAAGTCATAGTGTACTAATAGAAAAGCTGTCTGCTCAGGTGGAGGTCTTTGGGGGCCTATGTTCTGGAAGGATACAGTTAGGGAGTTGTGTGCGCCTTCAGCAGTGTTTGCCTCTAACTCTTCCTTCATAAAAGGTGATGGAGCAGATCCATTTTCCTGGAAAAGAGTCTGTTGAAGGCACTTCCGTATACTTCTGTTGCTTTGCCCTTTGCCATTTGACTTTTTGGTGCCGGAACAGTCATTAAATGTGTGGCTTCTCAAAGAAGAAGCCCTCGTTTTTGCAGGGGAAGACTATTTATTCATATGAAGTTGAAAGCACCTACCCTTCTGGCAACCTTTCCTGCTGCCTGACTTGCCTGGGGAAGATGCTCCCTGGGATTGCTGCAGGATGGTTGCGGTGCTCTGGCCATCTGAGTTGCTGTGATTCTGTTACCAAACAAATACACTCTTTTTTTTATTATTAAGGTATCATTGATACACACTCTTATGAAGGTTTCATAAGAAAAACAATGTGGTTACTACATTCACCCTTATTATCGAGTCCCCAATACCCTGCAGTCACTGTCCGTTAGTGTAGTAAGATGCTACAGAGTCCCTACTTGTCTTCCCAGTGCTACACTGTCTTCCCCGTGACCCCACACACACCATGTGCACTAATCATGATACCCCACAATCCCTTTCCTCCCTCCCTCCCCACCCACCCTCTCCCACTTCTCCCCTTTCGTAACCACTAGTCTCTTCTTGGAGTCATGAGTCTGCTGCTGTACAAATACTCTCATTTATAAATAATTCTGTACATCTTTTTGTGGTTATATAGGAAGTTCTTATTTTTACAATTGAAATTTAAATGCTCCCCTTTAATTCTGTAATTTTTTTCTGATTAGTACACTTAAAATGGTAGGCCAACATTAACATTTCTGAGACTAAATGCCTCAGGAATTTGACACTTTGAATAATCCCACTGTATTAGGAGATACACTAGGTCTGCATTAGGGTATAATTTTTTATTGATTCTGGGATGCTTTATTCACCTTTGTATTTCCCATTAGCCTCAGTGTAAAGTAAGTGCTCAGCGAATGTATCTAAAGGAAGAAATGAAAGCTAATGTAATTCACTTGATTAGAGATGTTCCTCAGTTAAACTTCCTCTTAATCTCAGTATCTTTATTTTAAGTCCTACCAAGTGATGGCAATAGAATGATGTTACCAGGCAAAAATTTTTTAAATCTCAGTTAGTTATAAGGGTTTATTAACTAGATTCCCCACTGCATTCTATTTCTAGAAGAAACAAATGACAAGAAAATCAGCTGTTACTGGTCTTTCTAAAAATAAATACCTTCTATGACTGTTGTAGGAACATATTCAGTCCAGCTTTCACATTCCTTGCATTTCATTATAGTTTTAGAAGAGCAGGAAGTTGACCCAGATGACCTGCAGAGTCCTTTGTCACAGATACTCTTTTGAGCACTTGTCCTGAATTATTCTCTTATATATCCTCTCATTGTTGGACACCCCCATTTTACAAATGAAGAAAGAAAACAGGCTCAAAAAGGTTAAGGATGTTTTGACTAAGAAAGCTAGCATGTGATTGGGTCAGGATTTGAATCCAGTTCTGCCTATAGGGCCTTGGGTTCTTATCACTCTTCTGTAATACAGTCGTCCCCCCTTTATCCTCGGGGGAATGCATTCCAAGTCCCTCAGTGGAAGCCTGAAACTGCAGATAGTACCAAACCCTATATATATATATATATATATATTGTTTTTTCCTATACATAATACCTGTGGTAAAGTTTAATTTACAAATTAGGCACAGTAAGAGGTTAACAACAATAATAATACAGTAGAACAATCACAGCAATATACTGTAATAAAAGTTGCATGAATGTGGTCTCTCACTCTCTTAAAATATCTTGTGCTGTAGTCACCCTTCTGAGGATGATAATGTCAGATGATAAAATGCCTATGTGCTGTGAAGTGAGCTGAATGGCACAGGCATCGTGACATAGCATTAGGCTACTGTTGACCTCCTGACCATACGTCAGGATTGTCGCTTCCAGACCACGATTGACTGTGGCAACTGAAATTGCAGATAAGAGGGGACTACTATAATTTCTTTGTTGAATATTCCCACTTAACTGAGGAGGTACCATCTTGTTCCCAGAATAAACATCATTACAGTTCTAACAAGATTTAGGAAGTAGTTCTTATAATTAGGTTTCTAAAATAAGAAATGAATCTGGTAGCAGACATTTGATTAATAAGTTTTATTTTAAAAGCACAGTACTATCTTAAATCAGAAGAAAGGAAAATATATTTATTGAACAAATTTACTTGGGTGGTATATTTTTGTAAAATTCCTACTAACCCAGAAAGCACAGTCTGTGCCCTTTTAGATACCTCACAACCAAATGTAAACTGAAGAAATACAGTTTCATATGTCAGCACATCATTTGAGGAAAACACAGTTTGTCCCCCCATCTTCCTATAAAGTAATGAGAAGACTGAATGGAAATGAAGGGAGAAAGAAGGGAAAATTTATTGTTATAACAGTAATTATGAGCTACGAGGGGCCTGATGAAGGAGTTGCTACTATAGTTAACCCTTGAACAACACAGGTTTGAACTGTGTGGGTCTGCTTACAATGTGGGTTTTTTTAAATAAGTATGTTGGGAAAATTTTTGGAGATTTGTGACAATTTGAGGAAACATTTTCTCTTGTAAGAATACAGTATATAATACATACAACATATAAAATATGTGTTGTGTTAATCGACTGTTTATGTTATTGGTAAGGCTTCCAGTCAACAGTAGGCTATTAGTAGTTAAGGTTTGGATGAGTCAAAAGTTATATTCATATTTTTTTACTGCATGTGGGGGTCCGTGCTCCAAAGCCACAAATTGTTCAAGGATCATCTGTATTTTTTTTGCAAGAGAGCAAGCTTTCCTCTCTGATGCCGTGGAGATCTCATTGACTAGAACTGCAGCCTCTAGTACTTACCTGGATTTCCTCTCAGCATAGATTTAATCCTTTTAAGCTCCTGGGTACAGGGATAAATGCTGGTTTTCAAGGTAGCATTTTCAAACAAACATTGAATTTGTTTGAAAAGTGATTTGGTCATTTTCTGCCTTATTCTTAAACATTGCTGTATACATTATGTTTCTAGGTAGGTGAGCCTGTGAAACAATATGAAGAAGAGAAAATAGCCTTTTAAGGAAATTGGCCCACAGAAAGGATGGCCTTCTTGGACAATCCAACTATCATTCTAGCTCATATTCGACAGTCACACGTGACCAGTGATGACACAGGAATGTGTGAGATGGTTCTCATTGATCATGATGTTGACCTAGAGAAGATTCATCCTCCTTCAATGCCTGGAGACAATGGGTCAGAAATTCAGGGAAGCAATGGTGAGACTCAGGGCTATGTATATGCCCAATCAGTTGATATCACCTCAAGTTGGGACTTTGGTATTAGAAGACGCTCAAATACAGGTAAATATTGCCTTTTAGTCATGTTTTCTGAGCTTTAAATCAATTAACAATCTTATACAATAATGCATAATGTTGGAATGGGTTTAATGAGAGTTTCTGTGTATTAGCAGGACCATGCATGTATTACTCTAAGAGTGAGTCTAAGCAACATTTCCATCTGTGAATGAATGGGGAGAACTTCTGGAATGATGCTATTAGAAGGAAGGAGGCAGAAAGGGATAGGTGAAAGAGCTGACTATGAGAGGCATGTTGGATATTCAGTTTCTAAATAGACAGTATGCAGGAAAGGAAGTAGACTTGTTTTGAGCGTCTTCACAGAGCAACACATTAGTCCCAGTAGGTAGACTAGTGGAAGCAGATTTCAGGTTGACGTAATAAAGAACCTTTAAAACAGAGCTGACTAGTCAAGGAGTGTTCCGAGACAGATAGTTCTTGCCCCTGGAGGACTTGTTGTGGAGGGATGGGGGTTGGAGGGAGACCACTGAATATTTGTTAGGGCTGCTGTAATAGGAATTCCTACATTGGGTATGAGCTTTGAAAAGGTGCCCCTGTTTTTAATACATTACCTATTTTTCTTAATGTTAATTTCTACCCTTTATCTTTGTGGCTTAAAATGCTCAACTTTGGTATATCAATATTTAGTAATTAGCTTTTAAAAGCTTATCATTGCCCATATTCCGGCTTATATTTTTTTTGAAGACTTTCAAGGGGAATGTGATGAGCTAAGGCCTTTACCTAATAAATTATTTAGAATATATAATGTATTTTGTTACAATATGATAGGGTGGGTATTCTAGGAGATAATTTTTTTTTTTTTTAGATAATCAGAAAATGTAGTCTCCTGATTAGTAGCAGTAACCTGCTATTTCCCAGGAAAAGTAATAGCAGGAGATGAGGTAGAACACTGAAAACATTTACATGTTTATTTTTATTTTCATAGACCAAATGTCATGCGTACATAAAGGAGTACTGCAGGTAGCACAGGATACAATTTACAGTAAACAACATGTTGAGGTTTTGATTCAGAATTCAGCATTCTGTGACATCTACAAAGAAAAATTTACTCTTATGATGAAAATAATTAATAGCATTTCCCAGTATCTAAAAGAACTTTTATCAAAATAGGATTTGAATGAAGTCTTGAATATAATTTAGAACCATTGATTCTCACTTCTCTAGGTGAAACTGACTTCCTTGCAAGTTACTGAGATGGTATCTCATATGACAGGTTGAATAGATTTCAGTAGGAGAATGCAGCTAAATTGAGAGCTTTATGATTATGTTACTTTAGCTATACCCTTCATGTTTATTAATTGCAGTTGAATGTATTTTTCTTCAGTGGAATTTGGTTATTAGATACAGTGATGTCAGAATGCTTTCGCCAGCATCATTTAAAATTTCCGGCAAGTTTAGTTTCACTGTTTCTCTACCACAATGCGCAGGCAGGCAGTTGAAAGAGAAATTTATTTTATTTTTATTAATTGTGCCAGGATAGGAAGTTGAAGATTAGCCAGAGGAGACTGATTTCAAGAGATGGCATCAATTCTGACTTTTTTTTCCCATTGTGGTCTCCGTATGCAGCAGTTGTTAATGTATCCTGGACAGTATTTCTTTAAAAGATCAGTTCACTGATTTTTGAAGGTTTATCAGCCAGTGGTAATATAGTCACAAATGCATAATTTTAGGTGACGCTTTTGTTATTATCATTGGAATTATTTAAGATAGCACTTAGATGCTAGTAATTAACTAAGATTGTGGGGTGTCCTAATGACAAAGGAATTTACTTTTTGGTCCTTTCAGCATATCTTAAAAATTTTGTGCAAGAAAAATTGTTCTTTTTAAGATTTGACAAATGTTACAAAGATACAAATCATTTATTTTACTACCTATAAACTGTTTCAGCCCACTGAAGAAAAGCTATGCTAATTTATATAGCTTTGACATTTTATAATTTTCATGATTTTTAGATAAAGGATTTTATATTTAAAACTTTAATAGTCTAGTCTGAGTTCATTTATCTTTAATTTTTGAAACGGGTAGAGTAATTCATAACAGTAATTTTATTCCAGTAATGTAATATTCACTTCAGTTCATTTGTGCATTAAAATTCCTTTAAGACCGTTATTAATGATTTATATAATGAAATGTCATATTAATCACAGAAGTTTTCACATTTTATTATTCTCTTCCATGTTAATACTATCTTTATGATCTCTATTAATGTTTTATATCCTCTAATTTCAATTATAAATCAAGAATATTTTCATGTTTTTGTTGGTATTTGCTTTTCAGGGGTGCCACCTTTAAAATTTTATGACTTTTCCCCTACATATGCAATATAAAACATCTTTATTCATATAAGGGTAGTTAATTATGTCTTTGTTTATAGTAAACTTTCATTGACAAACTTATAGTTATAATATTTCTTTTCAAGCTCAAAGATTAGAACGACTCCGAAAAGAGAGACAAAACCAGATCAAATGCAAAAATGTTCAGTGGAAAGAAAGAAATTCTAAGCAATCAGGTAAATGGAAATAATTTTAATTGTTAATTTGAGATTTATGTATTTGGTTTCTATTTTTATATAAGAACTTTTATTTTTAATTTATCCTTTTAAATCCTCTGGGCAGATACCTCCTGTATTTTCAGCTTTGAACACTTTCACTTGGGTATCTTGGCACTCTGAAGCTGTGTGTGCATTAGGTCTTATCGTTTTGGCCGCTCTTCATTCTGTCACAGGAATTGATGTGTGCAAGGCACATTTTGTACAAACTATATGCCAGTACCTTGTTCTTAGAGCCAAGCAGTACCTATGACTTGGATGGGGCTTTGGGTTATAGATTCTTCCTGGCAGTTTCAACCGAGACTTTCTGCTGCCTCATCAGAGCCCCAATAACAGGATTTTGTTTTTGCATATATGCAAAACTTAAAAAACCATTACATTGAGATATTGTTAGCATTTGCAGTTTGTGCTCATATGTTATGGATATGAAAAAGCTGGCTTTATTACCTAATTTCAAAGCTTCAATTTCAGCAAGAAGAGAAGACTTAAAAAAATTTTTGAAATAAAATGCTACTAAAATACTTTCTAATATTTGTATCATGTTTCCTAAGCTTTGTCCTTTTTTCTCCTTTCAGAGGAATGTTTGCAGTCTTTCTGTATCTTCCTAGCCCCACTCTGGCATGTAATAGATGTCCAATCAATTTTTGTTGATTGACTCCATCACTACATCAAATTATAAAACTGACAATATTAATAATTATTATATTAACATCAGTACCTACATAGTGCTGTTCTAAGCACCTTACATGCATATCTTTCAATGCAGTGGGTTTATAAGGTGTAGGTATCACTGCTGTCATTAACAGATGAGAAAGAGGTTCAGAGAGATTTAACTTGCTAAAGTTAACAGGGCTAGAAATTGGTATTGTTGTAGAACCATGTTTTGTATATAACAGTCTGCATCTAAAGGACAATCTCTTTCTGCCAAACCACATTGTGACTTCCCATAGTTATTGAATGTCTTTTTAATTTGCTCTTGATACTTTAAAAAAAAACTCTCTAGGTTGGCTTCTTCTGTTGACCCAGGTAATACTTCTCTCTGTTGTATTTAATACAAACTGAAAAACATTTATATCATTTAACTTGTCTACTTTTCTCAAAATTTGTATATATCGTAATGCTTTTTCTATTAATCTCTTCTCAATGAATACAGAGCCAATTTCTCTAAGCCCATCTTGCCAGCTACCTTTATTTTGCCTTTTCATCTCCTTATCTTAAAAGAAAAATAGATAGATAGATAGATAGATAGATGGATAGATAAGTATAGATAGATAGATATAGATAGATGAGTAGAGCACCTCAAAAATAACTGCATTAATCCTTTTACGATATAAGTTCTTCAGCTTAAATTTGGCACATCTAATAATCTAGTGATTAGATACATCTAATAAATTCAGATTCATCTCCCACTCCTTAAAGTTAATCCACATTAGCTTCTTTTTTTAAATTTTATTGAGGTATCATTGATATACAATTTTACGAAGGTTTCGCATGAGCAACGTTGTGGTTACTGCATTAGTTCATATTATCAAGTCCCCCACACAAATCCCATTGCAGTCACTGTCCATCAGCGTTGTAAGATGTTACAGGGTGACTACTTTTCTCTGCTATACTGCCTTCCCCATGCCCCCCTACTCTATTATGTGTGCTAATAATACCCTTTAATCCCCTTCTCCCTCCATCCCAAACCGCCCTCCCCAGTCCCTTTCCCTTTGGTAACTGCTAGTCCCTTCTTGGAGTCTGTGAGTCTGCTGCTGTTTTGTTCCTTCAGTTTTGCTTTGTTCTTATACTCCACATATGAGTGAAATCATTTGGTACTTGTCTTTCTCCACCTGGTTTATTTCACTGAGCATATACCCTCTAGCTCCATCCATGTTGTTGCAAATGGTAGGATTTGTTTTCTTCTTATGGCTGAATAATATTCCATTGTGTATATGTACCACATCTTCTTTATCCATTCATCTACTGATGGACACTGAGGTTGCTTCCATATCTTTGCTATTGTAAATAGTACTGCAAAAAGCAGGGTGCATATGTCTTTTTGAATCAGGAATTTTGTTTTCTTCGGGTAAATTCCCAGGAGTGGAACTCCTGGGTCAAATGGTATTTCTATTTTTAGGTTTTTGAGGAACCTCCATATTGCTTTCCACAATGAGTGAACTAATTTACACTCCCACCAGTAGTGTAGGAGGGTTCCCCTTTCTCCACATCCTTGCTAGTATTTGTTGTTTCTTGTCTTTTGAATGTTGATCATCCTAACTGGTGTGAGGTGATATGTCATGGTTTTAATTTGCATTTCCCCGATGATTAGTGATGTGGAGCATCTTTTCATGTGCTTGATGGTCATCTGAATTTCTTCTTTGGAGAAGTGTCTGTTCATATCAGCTGCCCATTTTTTAATTGGGCTATCTGCTTTTTGGGTGTTGAGACATGTGAGCTTTTTGTCTATTTTGGATGTTAACCCCTTACCGGATATATTATTTACGAATATATTCTCCCATACTGTAGGATGCCTTTTTGTTCTGCTGATGGTGTCCTTTGCTGTGCAGAAGCTTTTTAGTTTGATATAGTCCCATTTGTTCATTTTTGCTTTTATTTCCCTTGCCCAAGGAGATGTGTTCAGGAAAAAGTTGGTCATGTATTCAAGAAATTTTTTTAAAATAATTTTTTTTATTAGGGTATTATTGATTTGAAAACTCTTATGAAGGTTTCGCATGAAAAACAATGTGGTTACTACATTCACCCATATCATCAAGTCCCCCCCATATCACATTGCAGTCACTGTCCATCAGTGTAGTAAGATGCCACAGAGTCACTACTTGTCTTCTCTGTGCTACACTGTCTTCCCTGTGATCCCCCACACCATGTGTACTAATCATAATATCCCTCAATCCCCTTCTCCCTCCCTCTCTATCTACTTTTCTTCTTTGGTAACTGCTAGTCCCTTCTTGGAATTTGTGAGTCTGCTATTCAAGAGATTTTTGCCTGTTTTTTCTTCTAAGAGTTTTATGGTTTCATGACTTACATTCAGGTCTTTGATTCACTTCGAGTTTACTTTTGTGTATAGTGTTAGACAATAATCCAGTTTCATTCTCTTGCATGTAGCTGTCCAGTTTTGCCAACACCAGTTGTTGAAGAGGCTGTCATTTTCCCATTGTATACCCATGGCGCCTTTGTTGTATATTAATTGGCCACACGTATGTGGATTTGTATCTGGACTTTCTGTTCTATTCCATTGATCTATGGGTTTGTTCTTATGCTCGTACCAAATTGTCTTGATTATTGTGGCTTTGTAGTAGAGCTTGAAGTTGGGGAGTGTAATCGCTCCAGCTTTATTCTTCCTTCTAATCCACATTAACTTCTATTCAGTGTTTCACAGAATGTGCTGCAGAAATAAGTAGTTCTCTTTTTTGCTTTGATTTGTAACCACACTGTCCATTATATATGTATACTTTTCTCTCCCTGTTTTCTTCCCTCCTGTCTCTCACAGATTTCAGTAATTGACCCTTTGTTCTTACTTCTGGGAAAGCCCTGTAATATGCCTCTTCATGCTTTGAAATGTTCACCTTGATTCTGGCCAGACCAGTAGCCTGCCTGGTGGTTACACCTGATACTTAGAGTGACCCTTATCAATGCACAAAATAATGTCTCTAAATTCTCTGTTAAGCTGGGTTCCATCATTACTATAGCTTGGTACTTTAGTTCTTTATGAACTTAACTAATCTGCATGCCTTGTGACTACATGATAAGTGAAATACCTTAGAGTAAGATCCTTTTTGTATTTCGGTAACCAAAACTTTGTGAATAAATGTAAACATGGTCATTGGAAGACAGCTTTGTCAAGAGTAATGTCAAATTAAGGTCCCAGTATTTTTAACTTATTGTTTATTGTTTAAAATGGTTTGGTATATTCTTTACAAAAGTAGTTACTATTCTTATTCGCTTAGTTTTTTTACAAGTATTTCTTCCATTAACTTCTGGGTGTATTATAATTCTGTTTGAGGTCCTTGGGGAAATACATGATTCCTGTCCTCAAGAAGTTTGAAGTCTAATTGGAAGACAAGGCTATTTATACATCAAGTTAAACAATAATAATAATAATAGAGTTTATAACAATCATTTATGAATATTCTTGAGGTTTTCTTTATGTAACTTTTATTATTGGTTTGTTAAAAGAACAGCTCCCCGATATGGTGGCTATTCAGAAATACATCCTAAAGTACATGTTATAATGATATGTCCTGTAGCAATTTCTAGGCCCCGTCTGTGGAAGTCCTGATTCAGTAGGTAGAGGCCGGGGTCCATAAAGCTCTCTTTTTCAGGGGCTCCCTAGTTGGTTCTTACAGTAACCAGCTCTGAGGACCACTGGCATGTAGTATGCTAGCCACTGAGTCTGCTGCTTCTTCATGGAAGTCCAACAGATGAGCTGTTAATATTTCTACATTTATAGGTGATAAAAATGGAGCCCAGAGGGTAAGTGACTTTTCTGTTACTTACTTAATAAGTGGCAAAGCCAGAATTCTGGCCAGTCTGCCCCCATGGGCTGCGCTCAGTGTACTCTGCTCCATTCTCTCCCACAGTGTAGGTAGAAAGGAGCTGCTCCTGGAGCTTTGGGTATTGAGGAGTCTTTGGTGTTTCCTTGTTCCTTTCCTTCTCTGTGTGTCAGCTACAGCCAGGGTTCAGGAAAGTTGCTGAAGCCTCTCTATTTAAAGAAAAAAATTCTTTATAGAAAATTTGAAGAGAATATAAAAATGAAAATAAACTACCAATAATCTCACATTCAGAGAACTGTTGTTAACATTCTGATGTATTTATTCTTGATTGTATTTATACTTTAAACACTCTAATCATACCTCCTATGATCTTTTTTGTATTTTTTGCATATATAAATACTATATAAATGCAACGCTTTGTGTTGTCTTCCTACTGTTCTTTTTATTGTCTTCATATTACACTTTTAC